CATTTGCCTCCTTCAACTCTAATAAGCATCTACCTCCCCTTTAACCACCGGACGTTTGTTTTTTCTAATGGGTGGTTTACCAGCTGCCTTACACAGCCTACATAAAGTTGAAGTACTACCGCTATGCTACAATTTTAGAAAATATTCCTTTTTGTTTCTTCCATCTAGGTTGCGAGTGGGAAAAATATGAAGAAAAATACTTCTGTGTAACTTCACCTGCCCATTATCTTTTTTCCTTTGGTATTGAATGAGTATTTCGTCAATCTTCAGTGTTTTGTCAAACAACATGCTTTTCCAGAAGCTTTTCAATTATATTACTTTAAAAAAATGAATAATAAATAAAAGCTTTATAAATCCGCATCTGTCCTTGTCTGCTGGTGACTACCATAAAGCAAAGCTCTGCAACGCTCCCTACACAAGTAGTGTATTTGGACAGGGATTCCTTTGGGGTTTTTTGCCGGTTCTTGCTCTTGGAAAGTACATTTGAAAGAATATGAAAGGTGGTAAGGCATTTACCTAGACTTTAATACTCTGATTCAATTACAGGTTCATTTTACGCTTTACTTCAGCAGTTATAATGACCTATTAAGAAAACGTTCAAAGGAATTGCTCAGTCTAAATAAGATGACTAGCAACGAGCTCTTATAAAAAGAAAAAAAAGATATTTTTTCCATCAGCCACAAATCAAGTGTGCAGAGAGCTGCAAACAGATCCACTTTTAGGCAGTCCTTTTCACCTCTGAGGTTGTTTTCAAAACAGCTTTTGACTTTAGAGATGTTTCTTGAAAAGCTTGCCATCTAAATCCTGCCCTTCATTGCAGGAAGCTCCCAAGAGAGAAACGTTTCTGTTCTATGCCAGTAAAGCAGCATCATTTTCTAGCACACGTTTGGTTTCAGTCCACGAACACAAAACTCCACAATCTTCTACGCTTTAAGAAAGACCCTTGCATAACCCTTGAATCATTAGAAGAGCCCTTGCATAATAAGGCATTTCATAAGGGCAGTTCTCTTGGCCTTGAAACTCTTTGTGCCTGCAGCTCATGAACTGGGAATCTTCTCCAGAAGCACGGGAGTACCCTCAGAATGAAACACTCGGAGACATTGCGTTGAAAACTTGAAAGGAAGAGTCACCAATCTTGTTATGACTGAAAGGTTTGAACACCCAATCCCTGCAAGCCATAGCTATGTATTGGTTTAGAAGAGCTTATGTGACCCCCCCCAAGGCATTCACAAACATCTCGTTCAAGTTTTAAAGTTTGGTGAACTTGAGCAAGACTCATTTGCCAGCTGCAGTTCAGCACCTTTTCCCTCAGTTTAAGGGAGCACAGTCCGTCATGCTGAAGACCATTCCCCTTATCTTATTCACCATCCAAAGGGCTGGGTGTCATTTACTGGAGCTAAAACTAACCTGCTGTAGGGCAGCGTAGCCGTAAACAGTTAGGACAAGTTAAGCTTGTTAGAGGAAGAGGTCCGGTGAAGATTCCAAGACACAGAAATCAGCACTAGCCCCACAAATCTATCAAGAAGCTTGAGTTAGGAAACGGTATCTAAGGCACTGCGCGTAAGAGTGGCAATGTCCCTCTACAACACGTAAATATTCAGACCAACTACATAGAAAATTATATGAAAAATTTCTCTACTATACTATCACATGTAAAACCTAATGTCATGCGACAACAGGCCTCAGTCCTAGAAAAAAAATTACAGCAAAAAAAGCGGTAGAAGAGAAGATTTCAAACCACAACAGAAAGGGCAGGAACACTCTTGGCTCAAAGAACTTTGAGACGACGAACTAGACCTCTTCCTTGACGCGAGCACCTCTCTAGTATCGCCGGCACTAAAGGTTTTCAACAGCTGGGACTCGCGTAATGAATCAACGCTCTGTTGAGATGCCGGTTTTGACAAGGCACCCACAAGGTGTATCAGGAAATAAATGTCCCTTTTCAGCACACATTAAGGATGGCTTGTACAACCTGAAATTGATACGGCCCCGCAGTCAGGGAGATCTCTGGGGCTTTCTACACCCTTACTCCTTTTCTCTGGGGGGGCGTGTGTTACAGTCCCAATTCATGAACCTAGTTGCTTTTGGAAGCTAAAGCTCATCTTGCTTCCGCCCGCTCAGAGGCAGAGAGAGACGGCATTCTGGAGGCCTAGCACTAACGTGCTTAAGCCTGAACTGCACCTTGGACTCACCAACATTACCGAGTGACTTCTCGGTGGTTCACGTAAGCATCGTATACCATCTTTTTTGTTTCTCTCCATTTAGGTTAATAGTGTTAACGATGGAAGAGCCTTCTGGTCAGCCTCTACTTGTCTTTTCTTCCTGACAGGAACAAAACCACTTAAATTGCTGAGTCTGGAGTCACCTTCGGAGAGCTACGGTGTAAAAAACTGACCCAAAGAGAGGACAACTCTGTCAGAACAGAAAGCCTGGACAAGGCCATGCCAGACACTGGACTCCAGGAGTCAAGGGAGAATTTGTACTCCAAAACCTAACACTCCCCTAGACCCAGAGCGAGCTGTACAGTACTCGACATCTTGGAAGCACAGTGCCTTTCACATAGCAGCTGCATGGAATTCATTGGGGCCTTCTCAACAGCCCGTGCACCTTGTTTTGTTCCTAGTGGGCGCCTATACTAAGTTTGCTACCTTACCCAGAAGTGCTGTGTAAGCAGGTCGCTGCAACCCAAGGTTGCGTTGCCTTAAGATAACAGCGATTGTGTTGCATCAAGATAAGTTGTTTTGACATTCAGCAATGGTGTTTCACTTGGCTAGACCATCACGCCTACAGGTGCCAGATAAAGACAAGGACAAGTTGTAAATGTCACCCTTTGTACTTTGTTGTGTCTAGTTCAGTTGCAATCAGCTACGGTGGGATTTGGAACACAGATAAAAGTAGGAGTGTTTTTGCTTAGGAAGTTAAGGGGAGGGTGGGTCAGGGGGAAGGATTTTCTTACTTATTCCATGCCAGATATCATAGGTTCGTCTTAGGCTCTCATACTTAGCTGGCATATAGGCTTTGCTTCCCAGAAAAAGAGCACGTTGTGTTGGTAACTAACAGGTAACACATCACTGCTTTAAACCTTCCTCACTAAATACTGGGCTGCAGACCCCCCTCCCCATACCCAGCAACCACCCAGGATCAATGGTTATTTCTTTCCTCCCTCTTAGGGGGTGATAACTACTTCAGTCCACAATCTCCAGAGGGACACTCATTGCACTGAACAGACAAAGTAGAAGAGCCTCTCCTGGAAGTGATCCTCACCCAAGGCAAAACAAGTTCTCTTGAAGGAACTACACTGCTTTAACTACACTGCAACTAGAGCTCCTGAATAGAGGTGTCCTCCAAGTCCAAAATAAGCATTGGTTTTCTCTCTCTCTCTCTTTTTTTTTTTACTATCAAAAGCAGTTGCTATAAAAGAAACTGCCTCTGAGGTGAGCGATAGCTTCTGGAGTTACTAGAATGTTTCTTTTCTACTGTATTGGATAAGCGTATTTTGCTTTTGACACGGTCCTGGAATTAAATGGAATTTAAATAGTAGGGCAGGGTGGAAATCCGAGTAGTACAACTCACAAGGTACAACTCGGTCCTCACATCACAGAGGTGGCCACACAGCATTTTAGATGAAGCTTGATATCCTGTACTCGCAAAGACTGAAGCGAGAAGCTGACCGCCTGCTGCAGAGAGCAAGCAGGAACAGTGCCGTGGAGCTCCACGAGAGCAGTGCTGGGGTGGTTGCCTTTCCCTCTTAGGCTCTTGTTGCTTAACAACGTGCCTGGGAGAGAGGCACAGCTTTCTGCCCCTGACACTGGGAGAAAAGCCTCGAACATGGCTGAAACCTGGCTCTTTGCTTAGAAGGCCAGGAGTAATCCCCTCAATAAGAGGTCACCTGGGAATGCTTCACCAGGTCTAAGCAAAGCTTTCTCCTGTGCTGGCACGCTCAGAGACCTACGCTACCAACAGCCACCCAGACAAGTCCTCCCGGGACACCTATCAATCGATTCCCAACCCTGGGACCAGGCAAAGCACCCAGAGCACTTTCCACCCACGCGCCACAGACACCAAACACACAGCGAGCGTGCCCTCAGCTCCGCAGGCACAGAGACCAGCGGGCTAAGAGAAGCCCTGCCAGAAGAGCAGAGTTGTTTCCTTCCCGGCCAAGTGACTCAGAGGAACCAAAGGACAGAGGAGCTGGTTGCCAGCGCAGGGCAGCACGTAGGCGTGCGTGGCCCGGGCACGCTCCCACCTGCACTGTAAGAGGTTATCCCGTCTCCTGTGCCGACAAGCTCGGACAGCCGCGGGGTGAACGCTCCCAGAGACAAGGACTGCGGGAAAAACTGCCAAGTGCTGTCAAAGCAAGGGGCCGCGCAAAACGACTAAGAGTGACTTAAAAAAAAAAAAAAAAGAAGAGGAGAAGCTGGACATCATACATGAATCTTGTCATTTCCCCAGGTTAAAAGAATTTGATCAGGATGCTTTTAGCTAGACAAATTATGGTTTGTGTTATGCCACATACATCTTTTCAAAATGTATCAACAAGGAGACATGGCTGGGGAACAAAAGAATACTGTAATACCATGTCAAAAATCACCTATTTTGCAGGCAAGACTCAAGTATGTTCTGCCAAAGTGAGTTTTCTTATGGAATCTGCATCTAACTGAGTAACATGGAAAAGTTGAAATGGTTTTGGCTTTCAAGGGAAAATTCTGTGTATTCAACCACAAAGCAATTACTGGAAGACGAGGAGGAAAGGGGTCAGGGTTTTAAAGAAAACTAAACAAAGCAAACCTGCAAAAACAAACCAGACATACTTTGTTGCATTTTTAGCATTTAAAACAATCCTTTCATTTTAAATCCAGTCATGACAAGCTCTGGCTCTTCGTAGCAGGGAATTATTCCTCACTCCCCTGAGGCAGAAGGGTCTGCTGGTTGGGGTGCTCAGCGGCCCCTCGCCCCCCCTCTCCACCGCGGCGGGGGGCAAACGCGTTCGGCGGATCAACAAGCGCAAGCTGCACCCTTCTGACCGGGTGCACGTCCTGACCAGCAAGGGTACGTGGAAGCCGCGGTCCCTGCAGACGGGCCAGCCACAACGCTCACCGTCCGTGCTGGACGCCTGACAGCCAGCACAGGCCCTTTCCACACGCCCCCACCCACCCCCTCACCAGCTGGATTCTTTGTTTTTAACACCACAGAATGAAAGTCCCTGTGGAAGAGTTTTTTCAAGGGCAATCCATCACCACCTCAGCTTTACAAACTTGACAGAGTAATGAGTTAAAAAAAATAGGATTTTTTTAAATATACGCATGCATATATACACACGCACATAAACCCATCTGCATGCACACCTAAGGATTTATTTACTTGTGTCTTTGGACACAACTATTTACACAAGGCGGTGAAGAGCTGCGCCAGCAACCCCTCATTCTCTCACGGTCATCTTTGGTGTTTCTCTTCCATGAAAAGCCAAAATAAAACGTGTGAGATAAGACAGGGCTGACGAGCCTTTACCGAGCACAGGAAGCAGCAGGCTCAGTCCCACAAAGACAGACTAAATTGGACATGGATCAAGCTTTTGTGAGCTGCAAAGCAGCGATACTCCTGCTCAGCGCAGCGGTAGGCCCAAGCGGGGAGGCCTCGGGTTTAGGGCAGCAGGTCCCTAGGGCTCCATCTTGTGACGCTTACAACACTGCAAACGACGTCTCGGTTACAGCAAAGGCCGATTTGCTTTGCAGGGAATGTGGGAAACTACAACAAGTTTATCTTTTACACACTAACACATTTGCAGTTTTTAAAAGCACGTTACCTCTCACTGCTATTTCCAGCTCCCCTCTGGCCAGCCCGTGCCTCAGCCGACCAGCAAAAAAAAAAAAAATAAAGCTGCAACAAGGTAAAATTTGGCCTAGATTCTCAGGTAACATAAATTGGAATAATTACATTGCCTTCGGCAGAACCAGTTTACACAAGCCAGGACTGTCACTCTTCCTAATTAGCATTGCTTCCTTTGGAATACGATCCGATCGCTTCTGTAACTCAGCTGGGGGCATAGGTTCGCGGGGCCTACCCCGCCAAAGGAGGTGGCAGGGCAGTCCTTTCTCCGAGCGAGGGAAACCAGAGCAAGACGCATTCAAAAACACATCACGGGCTGAAGCCCAGCCAGCTTCCCTCCCCAATACTGCCATCTAACAACACAAACAGCAAAGGCAGTTTGTTTAGAAAACACTTTACAAAGTTTCGACATGCCTCTTAGGGAGCGTATCCCGGTACCTTCAGTTACTTTCAGGGAAAATAACTCCAACCACCACCTCAGGGCAGCCCCGATTTTTCAAGACAAACCTTCTTACTACTTGAGCAGAAGCTGAGCTCTTCCAGGTGGGGGAACTTCCTACTAACATTACTTCTTTTAGAGTCAGCGCTCAAGATTTGACAACAATCCTCAAAGAGTGGATGTAAGTGAATCCTACACACACATTGCTTACCTTACCAGCAAACACCATCCTGCCATTTCAGTAAACACAATTCGAGTATTGATACAATCCTGAAGAAACCAACCCAAGCAAAAGGGGGGGTGACAAACTCTGCTCTCAAGAAGAACAGGAACAACATAGCTGAGCTCTGTGCACACACATTTGCACTTTGCTCGCCTAGTTTGAGCACAGTTATCACTGACTGCAGGCTATCAGGAACATCCACCAGCCTGAGACACAGACACCTTCCCCTTGCATTGGTGAATATCAACAAAAAAATGAAATAGCCGGTAAAAAAACTAACCCACCTCTCTGCTGCATAACACCCCAAGCAAAAGGGCTCCAAAGGGCCTCTGGGGCCCAGCTGCCCAGCATTTCAAGGGTGACCTGAGCATCCCCACCTGATGGGAATTCCAGCTCCAGGCCGAGGGCAATCACCTGCCCGTAGCTCCATCTGCACCTTGCAGGACAGTTTCTAAGTAGTTCTGGAAACAGCTGGGTCCTCAGTAGTGCAAAACTGAATCTGTCAGCATGGTGTCCCTACTTTTTGAAGGACAACGGGAACTCTTTGTGAGGACCTAAGCTCTTTGTTTGATCTCATTTCTAGTGCTGGCCACATTCTTTCTTTCCAGTGAAATACTATACAGCCACTTGCCTCCTGCAAAGGAGAGAGCGCTCACTGCAAATAGGCAGATCGCCACCCCAATAGTGGCAAGTATTGCCACAGAAAAGTGAAAAGGGGGGGGGGGAAGTTAAAAAAAAAGTGAAAAGCAGTTAACCATCCTGCTGAGCATGGCAAAGGGCAGTGCGGAAATTTAATTGAAAGGATTGTAAATTCAGCAGCCAAGCGCAGCTTCCAGAAATATTAGGCCAATGCATTACGCATAGGTAACCTCTGAAGTGCGTTCCCCTGGGCCCGGGAAGAACCTGCTATACAGTCTCTGACATCTGTGTCTCGGCTGTTACTGCAGCTCTACCTCAAATAATACCCCCCCACCCCCTTTATATTTATAGCACACTTGAATAGTACCGAGGGTGTAGTGAGGTGTTCTCGTGCAAACGAGGGCCACTCCGCATCTCTCCCTGCTGCGTCTGGGCAGCGGCAGCGGGAACGCACCGACGGTACCCAGGGTGCCCCGCGGGGACCCGCCCCG